TAGCTGGAGCTGGTCGACGTGCAAGTCACCGGGACGCCAAGGTTACCTCACCAGGCTCAAAGGAGCGTGCACGGACACCAAGAGACACCAGGGACTGAGGGCGAAAGCCCGGGAGCCGCAACCAGGCTGTGGTCGGCGGCAGCTGGTCGGCGGCAGCGGCTGGACTTCTGTTGACTCGAAGTTGTCTCGCTTGGCCCCGCAAGTCGATTGGAGAAAAGCCGTCGAGCCCTGAGGGACTGGAATCATTCCGGCAGTACGACGTGGCGCGCAGGCAAGCGCGGCGACTTGCATCTCCGACGCCGTAATTTGTCCACGGCGTGGGTCCCCGGAGATCTAGAGAACCCCCCTTCGCCGGGACGCCGTTCCTGTGTTCCCGGAATCTCCAAATCCGTGGATTGTTTGCCCGAGGCGGTATCTTTCACGGTCCCAGGGCCAGGTGCGGGCCCCGGAGGCCGAACACTGACAAAATCCTTCATCGACGTGTCAGGGTAGGAGGTAGGAGGTCTGTCCACCCCCGATCCAGAAGGATGCGAACTACGGCATCGATGCAAACTTTCGGAGGGACGCCCGCGCGGCGCCAGGCCGGGGGGTCCAGCGCCGATCCAAGAAATCCGCGCGCGGAGCTCTGTTTTTTCATGTGTTTTCATGCTTTTTCGTGGTTGTTCATGTTTTTTCCTGGTTTCCTGGTTTTTCTTGGTGTATTATGGTTTCCAGGTTTTTTCCTGGTTTTGAATGTTAGCTGACTGCATATACTATGGCAGGAGGGCCATGCAGGCATCGCAGAATTGCACCCCCCCCTCCCCTCCTCCTCCCCTGACAGTTCATGGTTACGCAATTTGCCTTCCTTGAGTTGACAACGAGAGGACCATAAGATCCGACGCCTCGAAAAATGACAACTTCGATGACCGAGAATTCGACCAAAACCCTGGGCCCGGATAGATCTGCTGGAGGAACCCGCCAGTATCCCATTCTCCGGATAGACCTGTGGGCCAAGATGGACCTGCATGCCCGGCATGCCTGCCCGGAGAGGTCTGACGGATCGATTTGCCGGATAGACCTGCCGGATACGTTCTGGGCCATGCTCCAGCCCGACAGATCTGCCAGTGTCCCGGGGCCCGACACTGAGCGACATCGCCCGGCGAGAGAGAGAGAGAGAGAGAGATGCGACGCCGGGCGCCTGGTTCCCAGACCCCCGACGTCATGATTTTTTCATGACGTCGACCCCCCGAGGTCTCGACCCATTCCCCGGGACCGTTTTTTCGTCCTGAGTCTTTTTCTGACGGTCCCGAGGGCCGGTAGGGGCCCCCAGAGGCCGAAGATAACGAAAAACCTGCCGTCGTGATTTTTTCACGACGCCAGGAGGCCTGGGCACTGAGCGACATCGCCCGGCGAGAGAGAGAGAGAGTCGGGGATCTTCTGACCCGGGTCAATCCAGACCCGGGTCAGCGGGAAACCAAAAACTGCAATGCAGGAGAAACAAACTGCAACGCAGATCTGCGCAAACCCGGGTCAGCCAATACGCGCGGCCGCCTCTTGGCCACGAGCGGCTCCCTAACCCTTTAACCCGGGTCAGCCAGAGAGGGTCTTCGCAGGATCCTGCAGGATCTGGCGCTCTGGCTGACCCCCGTTTGCACTGACCCCCGTCTCTTATGACGACCTACCAGACCACCCCAACCCAACCCGAAGACCCGAATTTGACCCGAATTTCGGGTTGGGGGGGGTACGGATACCACGTGTTTTTTCAACGTTCCCCGACCCCCCCCCACTGGAAATCGAGGATAAATTTGGACCTTCGGGTTGGGTTGGGGTGGTTTGGTGGGTGGTGATCTTAGGCCCCGAGAGAGAGAGAGAGAGAGATGCGACGCCGGGCGCCAGGGTTTCTCGGTGCCCACGGCGAGGGGGGGGCCCCAACGCCGGGCGCCTCGCACTTTTTCCCAGGCCAGGGGCCCAAAGAGCCCCTCGCGCGACCTCCCCGGGGCCAGGTGCAGATCCCGCGGCTCCTCCTCCTCCTCCTCCTCCTCCTCCTCCTCCTCCTCCTCCTCCTCCTCCTCCTCCTCCCCCTCCTCCTCCTCCTCCTCCTCCCCCTCCTCCTCCTCCTCCTCCTCCTCCTCCTCCTCCTGCGCACGGTAGGTCGCTTGTTTTTGTTGGCGGCCCCGAGGCCCGATGAGAGCCCCGAGAAGCCGCACCCCGTGGGGGACCAGAGAAGGGCTCGAAGCGCACGAGCCGCTGGGCGCCTGGGCGCGGCGGAGCGCGCCGCGGCGGAGGGCGAGGCGAGGGCGCGGCGGAGGGGCGCGGCGGCTTCGTTGTTCTTGACAGCGCCGGGGGCTTGTTTTGCTTCCCCCCCCCCACGTGTTCCAACGTTTCGCTCTGGACTCGACCAGAATGTCATAACCACAACATCAACAACGACAACGACAACAACAACGACACCACCACCACCACCACCACCAACAACAACAACAACAACGACAACCACAACAACAATAATAACAACAACGACGACGATGACGACGACGACGACGACAACAACACCAACAATAACAATAACAACAACGACACCGACAACGGAAAAGACAGCGACGATAACGACAACGACAACGACACCAACACCACCACCAACAACAACAATAACAATAACAATCCGCCGGCCCCCTTGTGGGGCCACCAGGCTGTAGGCCCGTGATTCGCAGTTTCCTGTACCAGTTGTAGTTTGTAGTTTCCAGTGTTACAGTTCTGCTTCTTGCTGGTTACTGTAACTAGTTGATTGACCGCGCGAGGGCAGGGAGGCCCAAACCACATTTTTAGCACCACCTGGGCGCGTTGTCTGAATTGTTGGGGGGCTCAAAATCGACACCCCTCACGCATCCGCGGGGTCAGGGTCCAAAAACACATGGGATTCGCTACATTTCTGAAATTCGGTGCCACCCCTCACGCAGATCCGCGGGGTCAGGGTCCAAAAACACAGGGATTTGCTACATTTCTGAAATTCGGTGCCACCCCTCACGCAGATCCGCGGGGTCAGGGTCCAAAAACACATGGATTTGCTACATTTCTGAAATTCGGTGCCACCCCTCACGCAGATCCGCGGGGTCAGGGTCCAAAAACACAGGGGTTTGCTACATTTCTGAAATTCGGTGCCACCCCTCACGCAGATCCGCGGGGTTAGGGTCCAAAAACACAAGGGATTCGCCACATTTCTGAAATTCGGTGCCACCCCTCACGCAGATCCGCGGGGTCAGGGTTCAAAAACAAGGAGGATTTGCCACATTTCTGAAATTCGGTGCCACCCCTCACGCAGATCCGCGGGGTCAGGGTCCAAAACCTGCTCTTCCATGGCCCATTCTCGGAGAGAGGGGGCCGGCGGCAGGGGGCGAAGCCCTTACGAATAACACGAATAACAATGATACCACGAATAACAACAACGACAACAACATCATCAACACCAGCAACAACAGCAAACACATCAGCAACAACAACAACAACAACCATTTTAAGGCTGTACGCTCTTACTTGCCCACGAGTCATTCAACACGTATACCCTACACCCTCGAAACCCGCCCTCTTCGTCTTCGATCACACCCCTTTCGGGGGGATTATTTCTCTTTGCTGGGGCCGGCGGGCTTAGACGTACGGGCAAACCGGAACGGGCGGACAATCCTTCGGGGGCGTACATCTCTCTGCCCGCCATTGGAATTGGCGCGGGCCCTGCAAGAGGAGGAGGGGAAGAACGAGGGAGAGTGGGAGGAAGGGGAGGGGGAAGGACGAAGGAAGAGGGAAGATACCACGTTGTGAAGGCGTCCTTGGCGCGTGCGTGGTTCCTGAGCGCCGAAACGCAATTCCAGAATAATTTGTGAGGACGTCGCACGCGAGAGCGCAGTCCTGAGTACATTGTGAAGAAATCTCGGGCGGGAGCGGGGGCCCTGACTAAGTTGCGAGGAAGTCTCAAGCGGGAGCGCCGTTCCTGAGCAAATTGCACGGAAGTCTCAGGCGGGAGCGGGGGTCCTCACTAAATTGCTAGGAAGTCTCAGGCGGGAGCGCCGTTCCTGAGTCAATTGCGCGGAAATGTCAGGCAGGAGCGGGGGTCCTGAGTAAAATTCGAAGAAGTCTCAGGCGGGAGCGCCGTTCCCACGTAAATTGCACGGAAGTCTCAGGCGGGAGCGGGGGTCTTGATTACATTGCGAGGAAGTCTCAGACGGGAGCGCCTTTCCTGAGTAAATTGCGCGGAAGTCTCAGGCGGGAGCGGGGGTCCTGAGTAAAAATCGAGGAAGTCTTAGGCGGGAGCCGTTCTTGTTGTTGCCCGGGGGGCAGTGGCACAGTTTGAGCAGGAAGACTTTCCTTGAGAAAAAACAAGGTGCGAGCCCCGGGGGTGGCACTTCAATCGAAAAAATCAATGTGCACCGGTGGGGGGGGATCAACAACAATTATTCTTCAAGAATGAGAGTTCAACAGCAACAGAAGCAATAACAACACTCCGTACTGCGGACGTCAGGCAGGCGGCACTGTGAGACCGAAAAACGCATAGAACAAACACGCGCGACTGAAAACGGAACAAAAACACGAGCAGGTGGACCACTGGCCGACCCCGGACCTGAAATCGTGACGAGAATGGCGCCCAAAGCGAACAGCCGTTTTGTACCTCGACAAAAAAAACGGGAAAGACAGACGCCCCCCACAGCGTTGTCAGGATCATCTATACCGCGGCGGAGGCTAGCACGGGGGAAGCAGGTCCTGAGGGACACAGGTCCTGGAACCTGGGCCTTCCCCCAGCACCTCAGACAAGCGACGCCCTGATTTAATCAGGACGGGGACCATGGAAATCCCGACCCTTTCCCCAGGCCCGGTTTTTCGCCCTGAGTCGTTTCTTGACGCTCCCGAGGCGCGGCGAGGGCCCCCCGAGGCCGAACATGGCCAGAAACTTCCCGCCATGACTTTTTGTTGTACGACGCGATCGTGTCTGGGACGCGACCTCCATTCGGGTCGGGCGAAAGGGGGGGATAGCCAAGGGGGGGTTTGAGAATCAGCTCGCGTAGCTGATTTTCCCGGCGCCTCCCGGCGCCGGGAGCCGCCATGTAACATGTATCGAGGAATTGGCCCCTCGGTGAGGCCGAGACCAGCTGCATGCAGCAAATTTCGTACCCCCCTTTCCCAATCCCCCCTTTCGCCCGACCCGATCCATCCGGAGTCCCATTTTTCTGATAGCCCCGGGGCCCGCGCAGGGCCCCAAAGAGCCCCAAGGCACGGCGACAGACCTCAGGGCCCGCTCCCCTCAGCACCGGCTCCCCCCCCCTGGCGAGGCGGGCGCGCCGCTCGGGCGGCCTCCTCCTCCTCCTCCTCCCTTTCCCTCCTCCTCCTCCTCCTCCTCCTCCTCCTCCTCCTCCTCCTCCCTTTTCCTCCTCCTCCTCCTCCTCCTCCTCCTCCTCCTCCTCCTCCTCCTCCTCCTCCCCTCCATCCCCTCGTTGAGAAAAGGGACCAAGAGGGGGGCGTCCAAGAGGGGGGGGGTGCAAAGCACGGCCGGCGGCACGTGCGCGGCCCAGGGGGGGCCAGGGATGCCTGGAGGGAGGTTCGGAGGGGCGCCACGAAATCTGGGGAAATCTCGTGGCCGACGACATGATGTCAACCCCCCCTAGTCATCACCCCCTTAGACGAGCGCGTTCCACCACTCGCAAAGTGACCACTCGCAAATGCCCTGGATCCCCCGCGGAGGCCCTACGACAAGTTACATGAAAAACAGACACGTGGTTTCCTGACGTTTGCGAGCAGAGGCACTGTGCGAGGAGTGGAACGCGCTCGGTGACCCCTCTTGGCCGCCCCCGAGCCCGCCCCCCCCCCCTGGCGAGGCGGGCGCGCCGCGGGGCGAGGCCGTGGCCGCCGAGGGCCGGGCGGAGCTCGAGACCGAGGGCGCCCTGTCGCGGTCGCTCTCCCGCGCGGCCGCCCTGCCGGCGCCCCGCCGGGCGGCCTGGGGGGGGGGGGGGGGGCGCCGCCATCGGGGAGCAGCCGACCCTTCGACTCAGGTCGGGCCTGTCCCCCTGCAGGGGGATTTTGGGCGGAGCATCAAACATACTTAAAGGATACCCCCCAAAATGCTCAAGCACAGTCAAAAAACGGTGTCCAGACTGTGTTTTTACTATTTTTGAACATCCCTCCTGTAGAGGGACAGGCCCGACTTAACCTTAGACTCCCTCGAGTACAGTCAACCCGTATGATATGATAAGGACGCCCGATGAGGATGCAAGGGCCCTGGGAGGCCATGTCGACACTTTTACGAGCTGGGCGCGGCCGGCGAAAGTGGCCAAGGATGGGCCGAAGGGGCAAGATGCAAAGGTGCACTTGGCAAGTTGCTCATCCTTGCTGTGCGGGTTGACGGCAACGGAAGAATCATGACGGGAGGTTTTTCCTCATGTTTCGGCCTCTTTGAGGGATGACAAAAACGACCCTACCCTGGGTTACAAGTGCGTGGTCTGTAAACCTCCTGGGAGCCCCCAGAGCCTAGCGCCGCCAGGACGCGGCACATCACGCAGGTTTTACCCTGTCAGCCCACAGGAGTTTCAGCGCACAGCGCCTCGTAAACCAGAAACCAGGGTAGGGGCGTTTTTTATGCCCTTGACCTCTGGAGGCCCTCACCGGGCCTCGGGGCCGCCAAACAAAAAACACGGCTCCGGAAAAAAAGGAACCGGCCCGGGGAAGGGGCCGAGACCTCTGAGGGCCGACGTGCTGAAGAAAGCATGGCACGAGGGTCTGGGAGGATCGGGTCGGGACATCGGATCGGGTCGAACTCGGGGGCGGCCAAGAGTTGGAAGCCTGGAAATGGGCACCAACACCAACACAGGGGTGTGCCTCCACAGGGGGAAGGTGATCCTAGATTTCGGTGTTGGTGGTAATATTTCGGCCACCTTGGAAGCCAGAATATTACCACCATCACCGAGATCGGGATCTTCTTCCCTCGGTGAAGGCAACCCGCCGAATTTGGTGTTGGTGTCAACCTCTAGGCCTGCGAAAGAGGGGGGCGTCCACGAGGGGGGGGCGCAAATCATGGCCGGCGGCACGTGCGCGACGCAATGGGGGCCGGGAACGTGACGAGACAAGAAGAGGCGCCATGAAATCTGGGGAAGTGTCATGGCCAACGCCATGATATCCACCTCCCCCCTACAGTCGGACTCGATTGGAGAGGACACGCGAGAGGACACAAGACCCGTCCGAGGGCCACATTGCCGCAGGAATGTAGGAAGCATGGGTCGCGGGACACAGGACACAAGGGCACCCGTGATTTGGCAGGGTCGCCCTGCTAATCTGGGCCGACTGTATTCCTCTCCCTCCGTGGTGTCCCTCTACTCGTCAGGGAAGGGTCAAGGGGCCCCAGGACACACAAATCAACACACACAAGTAACAGGATCCCCCCATATTCTCCCATAGCCTCTGGGTTTTTGTCCTCCCCCCCACTTCCCATATTTTCCCACATCCTCCTCCCTAGTCATGAACCCCCTCTTGGTCGCCCCGAAGAACGCGCACCGGACTGGGCCGCATCGGCACGGAGTCGGCATCGAGCACGACCCGCAGCGCCAGCATGCACAATGTAGCGTCACGCACGCCTCGGGCCGCGTCGGCTCGTCGGGATCTCGGAAGCGAGTCGGATCGAGATGGCCGGAGCCGATATCGAACTGGGTCGGTCGGATAGAAGCGGACTCTGGGCCATCGAACAGGGCTCGAGCAGAGCAGTGTTTTGCTGCGTTTGCGGTGTCTGCGTTTCGTGCGCGTTTTCGCTCGTTCTGTCTTCGTTCCGCCTTCTCTGCAAAACGACATCAAAACGAAATCGGCTCACGGAATCGACTGCAACCCGCTGTCGAGGGCCCCCCCCACGGACGAAGTTGGAAATTCGAGGCGTGTCGCCGCGCCGTTTGCTCTCGACGCGCCCATGTGGACGACGCCAGCACCACGGCAAACCCTCGGCAAACCTTGCGCCCCGCTCCGCTCCACAGCAAGCGCCGCCGGCGCCGCGGCATGCCCCCCGGCAAACCCGCCGCGCCCGAGGCGGCCTTTGCCCTGGTGGCCGCGGCGCCCTCCCCAAGACAGAGCCGCGCGTCGGAGCAAATGGCGCGGCTGCCCCGAAGATGGGCGAGCACGAACAGCGAGAGCAGTCTTGGGGATGTGCCCTCAGAAGCCGAGGGAATCCTCACGATCGGCATCGAGGTGAGGCGATGCCAACACACAGGGATGGGGCTATGCTTCAAACTGGTAGGAGGTTCCCGAACGTGTCCGGCCGTTTTCGTCGGTCGACCGTCCTGTGGACTTGCTCCAACCACTGGGCCTCGCCGACGGCCGCAGCGGCCGCTCGGAGACCCGAGCTACCTATGACCTGTGGACCAACTGGGCGACGAACAGAAAAACGGGTCTTACGCGCGATGGCGTAGCGAGGCGGGAAGGAAGGACGTGGAGGCGGAGGAGGAATCGGAAGAGGAGGAGGCGTAGCAGGAGAGCAGCAAGGTGATGGCGACCGCCCGGCGGCGACGACCAGCTGCCGACGGCGCCCAGCCGCGGCCTTGCCGCGCGCGCTGCGCCCGCCAGCCCGGGGCGACAGCGGCGACCGCGGCGACCGCGAGCCGGCCTCGCTGCTGGACCGCGAGGAGGGCTTGAATTCGAGGGCCATGCCGCCGACGCCTCGCCGCGGCCTCGTGGGGCAGAGCGCTTCTGATAGTTGTCCTCTTCCTCCTCGTCGGTCTCGTCGTCGTCGTCCTCCTCCTCCCCCTTTCGTTACCCTCCTCCTCCTCCTCCTCCTCCTCCTCCTCCTCCTCATCATCATCATCATCATCATCATCATCATCATCAGCATCATGCTCCGTTGTCTTCGTCCCCCTGCCCGTCCTCCCGACCGTCCTCCTCGTCCTCGTCCTCGTCCTCCTCGTCGTCCTCCTCCTCCTCCTCATCATCATCATCCCCCTCCTCCTCCTCCTCCTCCTCCTCCTCCTCCTCCTCCTCCTCGACGTCGCCCTCACCCTCCTCCTTCTCCTCCTCCCCGCTTCTCCTCACCCCCCCTGCTGCTTTCCTCAGTATGGGAAAGAATGGCGCCGACGCCCCGCTGCGGCCTCGCGGGCGGGCCGTCGGAGAGGAGCAGCAAGACCCAGGCTCTGCTTGGCGTCTTGCTGCCCCTCTCCGAGCCTCTGCAAACTTGGATGACCCCGTGCACAACGCCGAACGCCGCAACGTAGCGCGTCGACACGGAGCTCAACGCGTAGATTGAGAGCGTACGTTCGGCGCGATACGTTCGCCAAAGCGTGGACCAATACGGTGAGCCGGCACGAATTTGTTTACACGGAATGTTTTGAACCACTGGAGGTGTTGCGCTTCAAGACGGGCGTAGGAGGAGGGTGAGGAGGATAAGGAGGATGAGGAGGATGAGGAGGATGAGGAGGATGAGGATGAGGATGAGGATGAGGAGGAGGATGAGGAGGAGGAGGAGGAGGAGGAGGAGGAGGGGGAAGAGGAGGAGGAGGAGGAGGAGGAGGAGGAGGAGGAGAGGAGGAGGAGGGGGAGGAGGGGGAAGGGGAGGAGGAGGAGGGCAGGGAGGAGGAGGAGGAAAAGAGGAGGAGGAAAGAGGAGGAGGAGGAGGAGGAGGAGGGAGGAGGAGGAGGAGGAGGAGGAGGAGAGAGGAGGAGGAGGAGGAGGAGAGGAGGAGGAGGAGGAGGAGGAGGGAGGGGAGGAGGAGGAGGAGGAGAAGGAGGAGGAGCGAGGAGGGGGAGGGGGAGGGGAGGGGAGGAGGAGGAGGAGGAGGAGGAGGAGGAGGAGGAGGAGGAGGAGGAGGAGGAGGAGGAGGAAGAGCAAGAGGAGGGGAAGCCTCCGCAGCACCTCTGGCACGCCTCCGAAGCGCCTGCGGCGGGAGGGGAGACGGGGGGCATGCGGCCGACGCCCCACCGCGGCCTCGCGGAGGGGGCTGGCGGCGGAAAGGCGGACCCCCACCTCCTCGCAGCCCGCCTCCCGACGAGCTGCCTTCTGGCCAGCCCCGGCTACACGCAGGAGCGACCCTGGGCAAGACTGGCCCTTGGTGAGCGGCTTCTTAAGGGCCGCGGGGGGGCCACCATCGCCACCATCGGCCCCGCACCAAGGGTCACCCTGGCGAAAGGTCAAACCTACGTGTAGTCGACGGCCCCCTCTGCGCCGTGCTGCTTCTGACTACCCACCAGACCACTCCAACCTAACCCGAAGACCCAAGTTTCGGGTTGGGGGGGGGACGGGTTCCACATGTGTGTTTTCGATGTTCCCCGACCCCCCCCCCACTGGAAATCGAAGGTAAATTTGTGCCTTCGGGTTGGGTTGGGGTGGTTTGGTAAGTGGTGAGCTTCTTGCCCGCCTTCCGGGGGCCGAGCCACGCCCGGACTCGCTCCGTCGCGGGCTCCCGGCTTCTGCGCGAGAGACCTTCGCAGACGACCCTATATGGGGCCCTTCCGGAGCCACCTGCCATCCGAGAAAGGCCGCCCTCCTCGCTCCGCCCCCGCGTGCACGCCGCCGACAGATGCTGGAGGAGGACGACGACGACGACGACGACGACGACGACGACGACGAGGAGGCGGAACCTCTGAACCCTGAACCCCGAGCCTCGAACCTGCGAGCCCCGACGCGCGCCTCTGAACCCCAGTGGAGAAGGAGGACGAGGGAGAAGGAGGAGGAGGAGGACGAGGAGGAGGAGGAGAAAGAGGAGACGGAAGAGGATGAGGAAGATGAGCCATTGGTTGACTGGTGTACTGGTTTACGGTGTCAAGAAGGTGATGGAAGCTGCGAGGGGTGTGAGTGTGAGGCCTATTGATGGTCCTCACCGGCGAGGCCTAATGACGATCCTCGCCGAGGGGAGCGGGGAGAGGAACGGATGGGCGTAGCGACGATGTCGTCCGCGATGCGTCCTGGTCCTGAGGCGGGAGTTCCTGAAACGGGGGAGGCAAGACAACGAAACGCAGTTTCGACTGCGAGCTGAATAGGCCTTGCGCACTTGGCGACAAGCGGTCCCCCCTGGTGACCCGAACGGCTGCGGAGGAAGCATGGGAGCAGAGGATACAGTGCAACGCGAAGCACTCAACTGCGGAGCGAGGGGGGGCAAGGCGACTAACTACGCTTCACCTTTGTGAATCCGCGTTTGTTACGCCACCAGGGGCGGACAAAACGTGTCCCCCCCTGGGGCAAACCAACGGGCACCGAGAGCGCGCCCGCGGAGGGGGAGGTATCCCACGAAGCAAAGCCCAGAAGCACCCGAGACCAGGGCAGACGCCATCGGCCGCGCGGCCGGGACAGCGGCCAGGAAGGAGTCAGGGAGGGAGGGAACTCGGAACTCGGAACTCGGACGTCCTCGAAAGTCCGCCAGTGGCGGCACCTGCCGGGGGTGAGGCAGGGCGCGGAACCGCCTGCAGACCAAGGGAGGGAGGGAGGGAGGGAGGGAGGAGGGCGAGGAAAAGGGGGGAGGAAATGGGGCGAGGAAAGGACGAGGAGGAGGAGGAGGAGGAGCAGAAGCAGAAGCAGAAGCAGAAGCAGGAGCAGGAGGAGGAGGAGGAGCAGGAGAGGAGGAGGAGGAGGAGGAGGAGGAGGAGGAGGAGGAGGAGGAGGAGGAGCAGGAGCAGGCGCAAGAGGAGGACGTGAAGGAGGAGGCCCTCCCGGCCGCGGGGCGGTGCGGGGCGCCTCCCCCTGGCGGGCAGCTGTGGCCGCCGCGGCGGCGAGGCCGCCGCCGGCGGGGAGGAGGCGCAGCCTCCCCCGCGGGGGGGGGCTCTCGGCGCCCTCGCGGCGGGCACCGCGCCAGGAGGGCCGTGCGCGGGCGCGGCGCAGGCGCGCAGGAAGGCCGCGAGAGGCGGAGGTTCGCCAGGCCGTCGAGGCGCCGCCGTGCGGAGCCCTGCATGGGCACCTCCTCCTCCTCGTCCTCGTCCTCGTCCTCCTCCTCATTCTCCTCCTCGTCCTCGTCCTCGTCCTCGTCCTCCTCCTCCTCCTCCTCCTCCTCCTCCTCCTCCTCGTCCTCGTCCTCCTCCTCTTCCTCCTCCTTTCCTCCTCCTCGTCCTCGTCCTCGTCCTCGTCCTCGTCCTCCTCCTCCTCCTCCTCCTCCTTCTCCTCCTCCTCGTCCTCGTCCTCGTCCTCGTCCTCGTCCTCCTCCTCCTTCTCCTCCTCCTCCTCCTCCTCCTCCTCGGAGCGGGCGAAGGACGGTGTAGCATAAACCTGTTCGCCGTCGGGGGCGCCTGGCCAAGGGCGGCTGGGAGGCTTTAGACCCTTCCGGTGGCACCGTAGGGGTATCGACTTTCCAGCCGCGCAGGGGCAGGCGTCCCCGACGGCGGGACAGTGTATTCAATGCTGCTCTTCGCCCGTTGAAATAAGGAACGAGGCGCCTTTTTTTCTACAGGAGTTGAGCAACCCGAGCACCCGTTGCGGGGGACCCCCATGGGTGAGAGCTGAACAACTACCAAGGCCGCGCGAACGGCGATGTTGCTTAACGGTGGCGTTGGAAACATTTCCGACATGCGAACGCATCGAACGACAACGCCACAGCGTATTGAAGGACAGCATGAGCCATGCGTTCCCACAATACCGAGACCGACATCGCCGTTACTTTTTCTTCCCATCGACCGGCGCACGCGCATGCCGAGCGCGCAGCGGCGGCTGCGGCCGCAGCGCGCCGAGGCGCCCAAGTTAAACAGTTGTATAAAGCTCGATGAGAAGGCCACGCGCAGACGCGCATGGCCACTTCCTCTGACATGGTGTCCTCGCTAGCGCCGTAGCGTGCCCACGCCTTTGGCCAAGACCACAGGGCTGCTCGCGCGAGAAAGTGCACGAACGTTCGTAACGTGCGTAACGACCGAAATGGTGAAACCAACGCGTTGGGGAGTGGCGTTTTCTGCGGTCCCCGGGGGGCTCCCCAATCGGGCGTTTTGGGGTCCTGGGCCCCATCCAAAAAACCTCGTGCACTGTTCGTGCGCTAGCTTGAAAAATCAAAATGTGCGTGCGACTCCAATTTACTGTTCCAAAACCATTTTTTGTGCGACAAAAGCGCTGCTCGGCACATACTTTTCGTGCTCGCGAGGCAGTTCCGCGACGGAACCTATGAATCTTGATACCATGCCCGCGTAGGAAAAAAACACCATGTATGAACTTATCCTCTGCAAAATTGAATCGCGATCACGGAACAACTAGATCGACCCTCAATTCCGTCGGAGGAAACATGTATGCTCAATTCCCCTCAACCAACTCTAAAAGATGCGTTCAATGCGTCAAACCGTTTTAAACCGAGGGCGCGGAGCAGCTGGGAAGGAGCACTGGGCCCCGACGCGCCTTTCAAGGCAGCCCCCCATGGAACCTTTGTGGAACTTGCGGCCCTATGGCCCCAATGGTGCAGGGGGGTCAATCTGCTCTGGCGCCTGCCCAGTATCTGCAAGAGGATACAAAAAACGCGCAAAGGGTGGGAAATATGGAGGAGGGGAGGAAGGGGATCAGGACGGGAGGTGTGGGGCGTCTTGGGGTGTCTGGGAAGCCCGGAAGGTTTGAAGAGGGCTCGGAGGCCGAGGGTCGACCACCTATCTGGGAGATTCTTAGTCATGCACCGCTCCCGCGCTCCAGCGCGGGCGGGTGGATTATTATTGTTCCTGCTCAGACACAGCCATGGTGATTGCGATGCTATTGACTCTGTGTAAACATGATGTGTTCCTTTCTTACTTTTAAAGGGCCCGGGCCCAGAAAACCCACCTTTGTGACTCCCTGGCTAGGTCGCTCTGCGCGAGGTTGGCGGATTGATAGCCAGTGCAATTCCCATTATATTAAGACTGGAATCTTGTTATTACTGTGGCGCCTCCACCAGGGCGTCGCGACGTCGCGTGCGGACTCGGCTCGAAATTCACGTGGTGAGCCGTGATTGATTGGGCCGTGCCGCCTCCCCTCGTTCCTCGCGCCTGGACTCGGCTAGGATCGCTTGGTCGGACCCCGAAGCGGGAGTGAGGGCGCGAAGCACCATTGAGCAGCCCTTGTGAAGATATGGGCATGGAAGTGAACTCTGGTGTTGTTACCCCCATTCCTCCTCCGTTGCTTTTTTTGGCCCGCAGCTTTCATGGCTTTCCAAGAACAGCGCCTGTACGTGGCCCTGCGAGGAGCTGGAGGCACATTAGATAATAGCGGACTTCTCCACGTTGCCTCGAGTTTCAAAGTCAAACCTGGCCGAGCAGCGGTGGCGAAGTTTCTGAATGGACGGCAGCGGGTGCCGCTGCGAGAGAGGGAGCTGTGCAATTTTCTAGCTCACGCTGGAATCGACATCAGCGCAGAAGCAGTCCGCCGAGCGGTTGATCGGATAAATCAGGAGCTGGTCGTCGTAATCGTCGAAGACGATGACCCGACTGGCGCTGTTGCCGGAGCTGCTGGAGGACAGCTCGTCTCACGCGTTGACGGTGATTCCCCACAGGCTGAGTTGAGCGTGGTCCCAGCGCAGCCCGCAGATGACGCAGGCCGCGTAGAGCGCCTGGAACATGAACTTGCAGTGGTCAAAAGTGTCAATGTATCTTTAAGGAAAGACCTCAGGGCAGCGAATCAGAAGATAAAACGTTTCGAAAATAGGAAGGCCGAGATAGAGAGGAGGAGGAGAAATCAAGAGCCCGACCCGGATGCCCCTCTGCAGATTACGCTTGGCAAGAAGGAAGTACGATTAAACAGACAGGGCCAAATTTCACTCGCCATTCGTCGATCGTATTCGAATGTGGCCACTGCTGATATAGGGAAAATACTACTCCAGGATATTTCTCGGTACCAGGTGGTGCGTGCGGAGATCGTTACAGCGACTGCTTTATGTTGTTCCTCTAAAAGTTTTTATCAAGCTGCTGAGGATGCCTCGTGCGTGAGCGGGTGCATTTTCGTCCACGCTGTTCTCAGTGATGCTACCAATTCCAGTGTGTGGAAAAAACAAAAATTACAGAGCACAATTGTGGAATCGATGTTCCTCGACGTGAGAAATGTGACCTTCCAGGACAATGCCTCGTTGGATGACGATCTCCGCTCACTTTCTGCAGCATGTCGGCATATTCGCCGCGTCTGTGATGTGATCCCCGTGCGAGACGGTTCGGCCGTGGGCTTGTGGGCGTTGCTCCATAAGCAGCTGGACAGCGTCGGCTGCCCCCCCTGGGCGAAGCAGGCCGACTTGATGAGGAGGACCCGTGGGAGGGGCCAGTGAACGCATAATTACCTGTCTGGGGCTTGACAGAGCACACACGCACATATACGTCGCCGTCGTCGAGGGGCAGGGGCCATTATCTTCCAAACCAGGTGTAGACAGATTCTCCCGGAGAATCTGTCTACACCCGGCGCGCAAATTGCCGAAGTGTCGCGGTGTGTTTTCCTGGGGACCCCCCTAATATTTTTGAGCGTTTGGGTTTTGTGGTTCGTGTTGTGGTTCGCTCAAGTTTGTTTGTTTTCTGCGTTCTCTCTAAGGGGTCGGAGGATAAAAGGTGCCCGGGGGCCATGGGAGCTACGCTATAAATATATATATATATATATATATATACACACACACACGATCGCGCACGCACGCAGACACACACGCAGACACACAGACACACAGACACACAGACACAAACACACACACACACACGCACACACACACACCCACGCACCCACACACACACACACACAAACACGCACACACACAAGCACACACACACACACACACGCACACACGCACAACACATGCACTTGTTCCTCCGTCTCGCTGTAAGGTTGCAGTCAGCAAGGCTGAAGCCTGCGGGGCCCTAATGGGCAAGCCGCGCGCCCTAGAGGATTCGCGGGAGGAAAGTCGGAAAGGGGTGGAAGAGATGGAAGAGGGATAGGTGGGGGGAGAGGGGAAGGACTGAGGGGGGAGGGAGGGAGGGGCCTTGGGGGCCCTGGCATCGACAAGGACGGGGAGGCGGTAGTCAAGTGCGGGAGGCTGAGGATGATCAGAAGGATAAAGATGTCCCCACGAGGAGACAACAGGACGACCCCGGTTTCAGCGCGTACTGTTACACGGCTGACGCCGGCCCAGATCAGGTCGGTCTCAAACCACTGGTTAGACGTACTATTATGCCCATTCCTTATGTGTCCTCTATGCACATATCTTGCCTACAGCATGGAAATCATCGGAACTGTAAGGGTGGATTGGTGCTCACAGACCGCATCCTGGCAGACTTGGGGATAGAATGGCGCTATTACTCGTCCATCTGCAAAGTCACGCACACATGGAGGGATCTACACTGTCAAGTGTTCAAGCATTGGGCCGAGGTCCACGGCCCCACCAGCGCGCTCGAGTGGGCGAAGAAACTGCCAATATGGTAAGCCCCCGGCCCCTCCCCCCTTGCCCCTGGAGCGGCCAGATTTGTATTGGGGGGCTTCTCCCCCCTCCCTCGAGATGCCAAACTTGCGCTGCATGTGCGTTTGTTTTGGTCATGGCCCCTTGGACCGTGCGGGGATATCGGGGGAGGGGGGAGGCGCGGCTTATAAGCTTTCTCGGAAGTAGACCACGGCCCCCTAGGGTTTGGGGGGGGTGCGGGGGGCTTGCCGGCCTTCAGGCCTAAGTCAGAGCGCTGGGGAACTATAGATGCTTGCGAGGCGTGCTTGGTCGGGCCAGGGAAGAAATTGTTAGAGGCTGCGCTTGTCCCAGTAATCACGAAAGCTGCAGAAAAGTCAAAGACTAGGGCCCAGGGGGCCCAGGGGAGCACTTGCGACGATCAGCCTGACCAACACAAAATCGAAGAA